GATGGCTTGGCAAGGGTGTGAGCCACCTCTAGGATTTCTGCAGTTAGTTAAACAGCAGAATAACAGAACAACAGAGTTGGAAGAGACTTTGGAGGTCTTCTAGTCCATCCTGCTGTTCAAGCAGGAGATCCTCTACCATTCCAGACAAATGGATGTCCAATCTCTTTTTGAAAGCCTCCAGGGATGGGGCACCCACAATTTCCGAAGGCAAGGCATTCCACAAGTTGATTGTTCTCACCATTAGGAAATTTCTCCTTCGTTCCAGGTTGCTTCTCCCCTTGATTAGTTCCCATGCATTGTTTCTTGTTTTGCCTTCTGGTGCTTTGGAGAATAGCTTGACTCCCTCTTCTTAGTGGCAGATATTGGACGACTGCTATCATGTCATCCCCTAGTCCTTCTTTTTATTAAACTAGACATACCCAATTCAAGTTCTTTATATGTTTTAGCCTCCGGTTCCCTAATCATCTTTGTTTCTCTTTTCTGCACTCATTAATAAAGGTGCTTCTAACTAGAGAAGCTCTTTGCATGAAGAGATTCTAGGTCCTGGATAGAATATTTGACAGTATTTGCAAACCAAGAGAATAATCCTTAAAATAATTCCAAACCAGCCAAAAAAAAACAAAAGATATCAGGAATTAGAACACCCTGATTTTAACTAAATGTGAAGTCCTTGGTGCTCTCTGAGCTTGGTTGTTTTCTTGCAGATGTTTCATTAACCCAGCTGGTGACATCATCTTTGCTGAAAAGGAGTGGGGTTTGCTCTCTTCTACAAAATCATGACTGTAGCAGTCACTACGTAGGATAAACACTCAGAACAACAACAGAGCGGACCCATGAACTAGCGGTTGGAAAGCATGAATTAATTTCACAACACACGGATAGATTTCACCATTCTTTCAACTGGGAAAGTATGAGCAAATTCCCCACCCACCCCCTGGAATTCCTGGCATCCTGGTGCTCAGAGAAATCAGCCATCAACAGGCACATAGAGATAAACAACATTTGCGGATGAAGGTTCATTCTCCAATCTTGTGGGTTGGTTTCCGGATGTTTCGTTACCAGGCTAGGCAACATCTTCAGCAGAGTTTAGGGCCGGGGGTGATCAAACTCGATTTCATTGAGGGCCACATCAGGGTTGTGTTTAACCTCAGGGGGCTGGGGCTGGTGATGTCCAGGGGTGGGTGTGGCCAGCCTGGTGTCACTCATCAGGGCTCTATTTTTGGCCTTGATGGCCTCTTGCAACCCTCTGCCACCAAAAACAGAGCTTTGGAAAGCCGTGAGCAGTTGGCCCAAGCTCCATTGTTGGCAGAGGGCTGCAGGAGGCCATCACGGCCAAAAGTGGATCCCAGACGGGTTGCACATGGCCCCCCTGAGCTCCTTTTTTGCTGGCAGAGGCACTGCAGGCAGGTTCTTTATTGTTTCCAGGGCAGGCCAAATCTAAGCACCACTCAGGCTGCATCTGGTCCCTGGGCCTTGAGTTTGACACCCCAAGGCTTAGGGGATGTCGGTGTCCATGTTCTTCTGTTTATAAGAGCTTCAGGTGTGGGTGTGTCAAGTAAGGGCCTTGTAATAGCTCTTGTGATGGATCAGGTGTGAGTCCTCAGTGAGAAAATTTGAGGTGGTGTCATGGCCCCGTTGGAGCCTGGGGCTGAGGAGGAGTTGGGGCTGACAGAGGGGTGCAGTCCCTATGGCCCATGAGCAGGAGTTGGATTCCACCGGTTCACCCTGGTTCAAGTGAACTGGTAGCTCCAAGGATCAGCCAGGAGCAAATCAGTTCAGTTTGCTCCGACGATCAGCTGTTGGGTCTACCTGCTTGCCCGGGCTCTAGGTTGTGTTTTATATCCTATTTTTTTAATCTCAGCTGATTCATGCGGCACAGCATATTGCCGCGCATTACCTGTTTAACACACAGGGATTGCTGGAGAAGGTCAGTAGCAAATGCTCTGCAACCGAACTGGTTGTTACATTGGTTGACTTGCAGCCCTGCCCGTGAAGAATGATCTGGTGATGAGGATGAGGCAGTCCCAGGTCCCTTGGGCCTTGGAAGAGTAGGCAGGGAGGAAGAGAGGGTGGAGGCTGACTGAGGAAAGGTGAGGAGATGGAAAAGGCAGGCAGCAGAGTAGAGGAGTTTGAGATCCTGTGTTGATCCATATTCCATTGATTGATTGCTCTTACCATTAGGAAATGTCTCCTTTATTCTAGGTTGCTTCTCTCCTTGATCAGTTTCCATCCATGGTTTCTTGTCTTGTCTTCTGATGCTTTGGAAAATAGTTTGACTCCTCTTCTTTGTAGGGGGCCCTTCAAATATTGGAACGCTGCTATCAAACATCAGGGTTCAAAGCTAGATGTTCTCTGTTTTTTTGTTCTCTGTCTTTCTAGTGGCCCATGCCAAAGACCCTTTTATTTTATTCTCACTTAGAAAGTAGCCATTTTGACTGAGACTAAAGAGTAGATGTTGAGGTGATTCCCCGTTAGGAGAATGAGCGCACCCAGGGAGACGTAGTGAGAGTAGTGAAGAATAACACACAACCAGCACACAGATACACTGTATAGTAAAATGTAGGTTTTTACTTCCAGTAAATCGTTAAGCAAAGTCCAACAAGCAGTCCAAGCCTTACATGGTTAAAGCAGTCAGTTTTCAGTCCAGGGATAATCCAATAACAAAGTCCAGCATCATAAACAGTTCAGTAACAGACTTACATCAAATCCAAGAAGAATATGATCAGCAACAGTCAATAGGGAAATATTCAGGAAACAGTGAACATCAGAACATCAACCAACTAGCAACTAGCAACAACAGGACAGCAGGACCAAACAACCCAGGTTTCTGGCTCCATCTTATGGCCATTTGAGGAATCACACCCAATTACAATTTTAGCATTCCCTTAAAGAGACAGTATTAAAATATCTAGCCTGGTTTATATATTTTCCAACCCAACTGTTAGGTGACTTACATTCCTAACAGTAGACATAATGGGTACAAATATTCCTCATTTTTTAAAAATATATCTTATGGGGAACTGATCCCCATAATAAAAGGTATTTACAGAGCATAATCGTATGCTTACTCACTAGAATGTAAGATTTGCTATAGTCCGTAAGGCTTACTCTGGATATGCTGCCTTACAGCTTTAATGCTGTTATTTTCTCTACTGCCCCCTGGTTTTATCTCCTTCCAGGATAAAAATTCCATGTTTGATTCTACCCACTGACACAACATCGTAGGTTAGTTTTCTTATGTAAGGATAAGGTAGAGGGCAGGTGAGGACAAGCTTCTGTATTTCTAATGTTCAGGTTGTAGACATCACTAGTTAACAGAGCTGTAACTGATGCAGTCATAAAAAAGGGCCACAACAGAGCAATAATTTAAGGGCCTGGAATAAAAATGATGAATATATCTTATACCATCTGTGTAAATAAATAACCATGTGCATGCATCTTTTCAGTCATTTGCTTCATTTCTGAGAGAGGTAAATTCAAAGCAATGGTATTTTATTTTTTATTTCTGGATCTTTCTGAAATAAGGTAATACTTGGTACTCCGCTGCTTTGAAACTCATCAAATTTGGTACTCAACAGATTGTGGTGTGAAATTTTTGTCCTGTTTGTTTGGTACTCAATGCATAAGTTAGAACTTTAGAATAGAATAGAGCTGGTAGGGACCCTGGAGGTCTTCTAGTCCACCCCTCTGCTCAAGCAGGAGACCCTATACCATTCCAAACAAATAGCTGTCTAGTCTCTTCTTAAAAACCTCCAGAGCAGGGGTCGCCAACCTTTTGGACCTCAGGGACCACCAAATTCATAATTTTAGATCCAAGGGACCACTAACTGGTTCTGTGGGTGTGGCCTAATCTGTGGGTGTGGCTTAGTGGTCATGTGACTGGCTGGGCATGGCTTGTATGTAAATATTATAAACATTTATATAAATATTGAATTTTTTTTATAAAAAAAGAGCAACTTTTACCCAAAATCAGGCAAAGCAGGCAGACAGATTAAGTTGCTCACATAATCACATATTCATTCAGAGATCTATCTATCTGCCATTGGCTAGCTCAGTCTGTCACATAAAATTTGCTTGCAAGCAAACTCACAAAATTAACTCACAACACACCATGTATGTAAATATTGAATTTTTTTATAAAAAAGAGCAACTTTTACCCAAAATCAGGCAAAGCAGGCAGATTGAGTTGCTCACAGAATCATTCAGTGATCTATCTATCTGCTATCGGCTAGCTCAGTCTCTCAAATTTGCTTGCCGTGAGTCTGCACTGAATTTGTTTGCAAGCAAACCTTCAGTCCTAAGGGAGGTTCGGCTGTGCTGAGCCGAAGATCCAAAGACTAGCTAGAAAACAAGAAATCCAACCATTTCCTGCTTCCTAGCTAATCTAAATCTCCCGGCACAGCAGAACAGCTGATGGTCAGAAAAAGGAAAAATAGCAATTTAGCAGACAAGTTTACCGGGTAAGGTGGTGAGGGTTCCCGCGGGCCATGTGGCCGGCGCAGCCTTGTGTTTCTGTGCAGCCTAGATTAATTGCTTTGTGGGGGTGAGATGGGTCACGGCCCACCAAAATTTTCTCACAGCCCACCAGTTGGTGACCGCTGCTCCAGAGCACCTACTGTTTCTAGTGGCAAGCTGTTCCACTGATGAATAGTCCTCACTATTAGGAAGTTTCTCCTTAATTCCAGGTTGCTTCTCTTCTTGATTAGTTTCCATCCATTGATTCTTGCCCCGCCTTGTGGTCTAGTGCATAGGAAAATAAATTGACCCCCTCCTCTTTGTGGCAGCCTCTCAAATACTGGAATACTCCTATCATGCCCCTCCCCTAATCCTTCTTTTCTCTAGACTAGCCAAATTCAAACCCTGCAACCATTCTTCATATGTTTTAGTCTCCAGGCCTTTAATCATCTTAGTTTCTAATAGGAAGTTTCAACTTGTCGGCCATCTTGTGACTCATTCCATTATTCCTTGTGGGAGAAATTTGTTTGATACTCGTCTGTTTTGGTACTCATTGCCTGCCCCTCCAAATCAATTAACGATGAGTATCGAGGTACCACTATATTTACTCAATAGTAGAAGCGTATCTCGAGAAGAAATAGAGGATAACATTGCTGCAGCCCTATCTTTGCACAACATTCTCTTTTTCTGAAATTGTATCCGTCTAGGCACTAAAATGTTAATCTTGCAGAATTTTGTAAGAGTTCACAATTTGTTGTGTGTGTATGTGGGAAATCAAGGGACTATCTTCAGGGCTGAGACTTTGGGGAAATGATAGCAGAAAACTATGTCAGGGACAAAACCTTTTTTCAGAAAAAAAATATGGCAAGGAGAAATGCATTCAAATAAATGGGGAAATGCATTCTACATTTTTTATAATCTGCACACCCTTCCGAGTTTCTCCGTATGATGCCCAGAATGGTGGATGGTCTAGAGAAAAAATGCAACCAGTAAAACCATCCTTCAAGTCTGAAGAAAATAAAACTTGGTAGATTTACCCCAAATGAATATTTCTTTATTATGTTCCTGTTCTGGAATTGGGTATGTCTAGTCTGATGAAAAGAAGGACTAGGGGTGACATGATAGCAATGTTCCAATATTTGAGAGGCTGTCACAATAAGAGGGGGTCAAGTTATTCTCCAAACCACTCAAAACAGGACAAGAAGCAACGGAATGAAACTAATCAAGGAAAGAAGCAACCTGGAACTAAGAAGAAATTTCCTGACAGTGAGAACAATTAATCAATGGAAGAGTTTCCTTCCAGAAGTTGTGGGTACTTCAACACTGAAATTTTTTAAGAAGAGATGGGACAACCATTTGTCTGAAATGGGATAGGGTTTCCTGCCTGAGCAGGGAGTTGGACTAGAAGACCTCCAAGGTCCCTTCCAACTCCATAATTCTATTCTGTTCTGTTTTGATTTTCTTCCAGGTAGTGGAGGGTCACTCCTACATATACACATGTATACATTTTACTAGTCTCATCAGAACAATAGAGTTGGGAGGGACCTTGGAGGTCTCCTAGTCTAACCCCCTGTTTAACAAGGGAACCCTATATCATTCAGGACCAATCTCTTCTTAAAAACCTCCCCTGATGGAGCACCCAAAAAATTCTGAAGGCAAGCTAATTCATTAATTAATTGTTCTCAGAATTAGAATTCTTTTATTGGCCAAGTGTGATCGGACACACAAGGAATTTGTCTTGGTGCAAATACTCTCAGTGTACATAAAAGAAAAGATACATTCATCAAGAGTCAAGAATCATTAGGTACAACACTTAATGTTAGTCATAGGGCACAATAAGCAATCAAATCAGATAGATAGATAGATGAAAGAAAGAAAGAAAGAAAGAAAGAAAGAAAGAAAGAAAGAAAGAAAGAAAGAAAGAAAGAAAGAAGAAAGAAAGAAAGAATAGAATTCTTTATTGGCCAAGTGTGATTGGACACACAAGGAATTTGTCTTGGTGCAAATGCTCACGGTGTAGATAAAAAAACCATACATTCGTCAAGAGTCAAGAATGGTGCAACACTTAATAACTTAATAATAGTCATAGGGTACAATAAGCAATCAAATCTTACTAGGAAACAGTCAATATAAATCGTAAGGATACAAGCGATAAAGGGTAATAGTAATACTAGTGCAGACTTAGTAAATAGTTGGACAGTGTTGAGGGAATTATTTGTTTAGCAGAGTGATGGCATTCAGGAAAAAACTCACCATTAGGAAATGCCTCCATAGAAACAGAGTATTACCTAATATGGGACCTATGGTACAGTTGGCAAGACCAGGGTCGCCAACCTTTTGGACCTCAGGGACCACCAAACTCATAATTTTAGATCCCAGGGACCACTAACTGGTTCTGTGGGTGTGGCCTAATTTGTGGGTGTGGCTTGGTGGTCATGTGACTGGCTGGGCATGGCTTGTATGTAAATATTATAAATATTTATGTAAATATTGATTTTTTTAATAAAAAGAGCAACTTTTACCCAAAAGCAGGCAAACCAGGCAGGCAGATTGAGTTGCTCACAGAATCACAGATTCATTCAGAGTTCTATCTATCTGCCATCGGCTAGCTCAGTCTGTCACATAATTTTTTTTGGCTTCTGTCAAGAATATTTTGAGCTTGGAAGCAAAAAATAAAAAGGGCTTCACCTGTTTTCTGTGACTGTGTTTGTTTTGTATCCCACCCTGGGTCATCACAGACCATCTTCATCCACTGAGCCTCCAGGTCCCAGGTCCTGGCCTTGCACTCTCACAGGTCTTCCCTCTGCTTGGGAAGTCTCTGCTCATAGTCCTCAGTGAGGTGCTTCTTCTGAGCTTCCTTCTCGGTCAGATCCAATTTGAACTGAGCCAGTTGTTTTGCCAACTCTTTCTCATGGGGGCTGTTCTAACAACGGCTTCCTGTGGGGGCCCTAAGAAGCCAGGGTGGGTAGGGGAGGACTGGGAGGGGAAGGGCGAATACGGGCTGGAGAGGTGCCCTTCGATGTGAGTGACATCGAGTTGGCCACACCCACGCAATCACATGATAACCTAGCCAAGGCCGCCTAGTCAGTCATTAGGCAGATCATATTGGTGGTCCATAGGAGTTAAAATTATGAATTTAGTGGTCCCTGAGCTCCGAAAGGTTAGTGACCCTTGTTCTAGTCTGACCCCATTCCCAGGCAGGAGCTTCTATACCATCTCAGGAAAACTGTTGTCCAATCTCTTCTTTAAAAAGTGTTGGAGCACTTACAATTTCTGGAGGCCAGTCATTCCATGGATTAATTGTTCTCACTGTCAGGAATTTCTCCTTAGTTCTAGGTTGCTTCTCTCTTGGATTATTTTCCACCCCTTGCTTCTTGACCTGCCTTCAGGTGCTTTGAAGAAAATGAGGAGAATACATGACATTTCCCACCCACCCCCCTCATTTTTCTAGGGCAAAATTTAATTGGAAAGGGTTGTCTGTTTTTAATGAGTTGGTGAATATTGTTCCTTGGCTCAGTATCTCCAAAAAAGACACCGGTCATTTCCTATCCCACTTCCTGAGAAAGCCATACAACATTCATGCAACTGTCACAAAGATTCATGTATGCTCATTTCCGTTCTACAAAGCTTTGTAGTCATAAAATATTCATATGTATCAACAGATGTGGAGGCTTAGAATGATGGCTCTAATGATAGCTCTGACACTGAAAAGTGAGGAATTGGAAAAGGAAGTTCTGAAGTCCAGCTTTCTTGTAACAGGTGGGAAGCACAACGTTCAGGTTTTAAAATTTATCTGTTTGGACAACTTCCATGTGTTGAGGACGCAGAACCAGCAGTGGGCTGCTGCGGTTTGCACCGGTTCTGGTGGACTGGTAGTTAACATTAGGCGCAGTTCGGCAAACCGGCAAATCCCACCCCTCTTTTCAGGCCATTTTGGGGGAGTTTTTGGCTGTTTGGGGGGCCAAAAACGACCTGAAAAACAACCTGGAAATGGCCTGGAAATGGCTCGAAATGGCCTGGATTTGGGCTTCAGGCCATTTTGGGGCATTTTCAAGTCATTTTCAGGCTGTTTTTGGCCATTTTTGGGGACACAAATGTCCTGAAAATGCCCCCCAAACAGCCTGAAAATGGTGCAAAAATAACCTGTTTTGGTGCAATTTTCGGCTGGTTTTCAGACCATTTTCTGGGCCAAAAGGCCTGAAAAAACTGCCTGAAAATGGCTCAAAAATGGCCTGAAAATGGCCCAGAACCCCCCCCCCCAAATGGCTTGAAAACAACCCCAAAACAGACTGAAAAACAGGCTGAAATCTTACCTCTTCCTTTGAGGTGAGTGGCCAGGAGCTGGGGCTGGTTGTGATGAGTGACACCACCCACCCAGTCACATGACCAACTGACCATGCCTACCCAGCCAGAGAAATGGTTGTTAAAAACTTTGCTTTGGAAAATAAGTTAGAATGTAGAATAACAGAGTTGAAAGGGACCTTGGAGATCTTCTAGACCAACCCCCTGCTTCAAATACTGGAAGACTGCTATCATGTCTCCCCTGGTCCTTCTCTTCACTAGACTAGGCATGAGCAGTTCCTGTAACCATTCTTCATATATTTTAGCCTCCAGTCCCCTAATCATCCTGGTTGCTCTTCTCTACTTTTTCTAGAGTCTCAACATCTTTTTTTATAATATGGTGAACAAAACTGGATGCAGGATTCTAGGTGTGGCCTTACGAAGGCTTTATAGAGTGGTATTAGTACCTCCCTTGATCTTGAGTGAATCCCTCTGTTAATGCAATTTAGGATTGCATTAGTTTTTTTGGCTGCTGCCGCACACTGTTGCCTCATTATGGTCATAGACCGAGGACACCACATCCCTATAAGGTCATAGAAGGGGGTTAAAACCTAGTTTTGACAATTCTAGAATTTTGCCTTTCTAGAAGGTCATGAAAAGGATGCAATGGCTCAGTGGCTAAGACACTGAGATTGTCGATTGAAAGGTTGGCACCTGGCGGTTTGAATCCCTAGCGCCACATAATGGAGTGAGCTCCCATTCCTTGTCCCAGCTTCTGTCAACCTAGCAGTTCGAAAGCATGTAAAAATGCAAGTAGAAAAATAGGCACCACTTTGGTGGGAAGGTAACAGCATTCCGTGCTCCTTCGGCATTTAGTCATGCCGGCCACATGACCATGGAGACATCTTTGGCTTTGAAATGGAGATGAGCACTGCCTCCAAAAGCCAGGAATGACTAGCATATATGTGTGAGGGGAACTTTTACCTTTACCTTAGACGGTCATAAAGAAGGAGCATTTCTCAACTGGTGGTAGAAAATTTCATGGACAAGGGCCACTTGTCTTCTTGACCCCATCAGGTGGAATTCCTTAATAGATGGGGTCCATAGCAGCCCCCTTTCCCTGGAGAGGGAATGTAGATTACAGAATGTAATCTGGTAAAGACCTGGCTTCCAGACAGTGTTACATTTTTTGACTGTAGAAACCTGCTCAGCCACTAGATGGCAGCAAAGGGAGGAGGAAAATGCCTCTCCGTTGACACCTTCTGGTTGATAAGATTGCTGATTGATGGGTGAATAATAATTCTGGAGAAATTATGTGGATGTGATCAAGTGCTTTCCCCTGCTGAACGTTTCTCTATTATGTCCCGAAAATCCCTTTCTTGGCCCTCAGCTCCATATTTTATCTAGGTATGAATGTTTCTACTCTAAAGCTGGAGAATCTTGAATAATAGTGTGTGTGAGAGAGAGAGAGAGAGAGAGAAGGGGAGAGAGAGAGAGAGAGAGAGAGAGAGAGAGAGAGAGAGAGAGAGAGAGAGAGAGAGAGAGAGAGAGAGAGAGAGAGAGAGAACACATCTCTTTCACAATATTTACCTTGATGTTTGATGCCTGAACTGTTGGAGTGACTTTTAAGAACTATGAATGGAAGAATGAATGAATGAATGAATAAAAGAAAGAAAGAAAGAAAGAAAGAAAGAAAGAAAGAAAGAAAGAAAGAAAGAAAGAAAGAAAGAAAGAAAGAAAGAATCGGTCAATCAGTCAATCAATCAATCAACCAAACAACCAAACAACGCTCCATTCAACAAACTACCAACACAGACAAACAAGCTAACAATAAACAATGGTCCAATCAAGGAACCATCATCCATTTCCACCAATATTGAGACAGGGCAAGCAACAAGTATATAAAATGAGAGTAATACCCCACTCCTTTCTAGCACTGATGATGTTACCTAGTTGGGTCATGAAATGTTTGCAAGAAAACAACCAAGCTGAGAGAGCACCAAGGACCACCTCCTCCTCCTTCTCCTCCTCCTCCTCCACAAAATCACTCCCTTGTAGATTGATTATGTTACCTAGTTGGGTCATGAAACATCTGCAAGAAACCAACCATGTTCAGAGGGCACCAAGGACCTCACAATTTCAACCTTGACCAATAAATAATCTCTTCTATCAATTCTACACTTTTGTTTCGGTGCATTGTGGAAACCCAGAACATAATTCTAACCTTGGGTAGACTTACAAGACACAATGATGATTGGGGGCACTTGTGATTTTAAAGAGTGAGACGAAACAATGACCATCCTCTGCTAAACGCCAGTGTCTCCGAGAATCTTTGTTCCTTTCGTTCATGTCACATTTTCAATAATATCCGAAGAAGGATAGGGTGTAAAGGTTTCCCTGATTAGGTATGGATCTGGCTTAAAAGACAATTAATTTTGGACTTTGAACAGACATGCTCCAAATTAATTGGATGGAAATGGATGCATTTTGAAATGGACATAGGAGGGCAGAGAGAGGCCCCCGTAGAGCAAACTCCCCTTGGGTTAAATCTATTAGTCAAGACTGTGCAAAAGAGAGAAAAAATCTTCCTAGCATTGCAAACCAAAGAGACTCTTTAAATAACCAGGTAGACAGGAACTGAATTGGCAGGAAGATGGATATGCCGTTACAAAGATGGGGAAGTGGAGTACCAGGAATTATGGTGGATTTCTCAGGAGTTACTGACGCAATTAACCAAAGTTGGCGAGAGTATCTAGACAACAGACTAGATATTTTGTGAAGATTTTCCATGTCAACAGAGGCTGATCAACTGACTGATGGCTGGAGGCCCATCAGATATGAAGTTCAGATTTGCAGAGTGATGGGCTTTGAGAAAGCTACATTTCTTGGGCGATATGTTTCTTTGTTCCTTCTTGTTGCATTTTTCTTGTTTTTAATCTACTTTTGAGATAAAGATGGTGGAAGTTATCTTGAGGTCACACTGATGGAAATTACAGCCACCCATCAGAATCACAGAATAACAGAGTTACAGATACAGATAATTAGAGTTGGAAGGGACCTTGTAGGTCATCTAGTCCAACCCCCCACCCAAGCAGGAGACCCGACACCATTTCTGACAAATGGCAGTCCAATCTCTTCTTGAAAGTCTCAACCGATGGCGCTCCCACAACTTCTGAGAGCAAGCTGGTTGATTGTTCTCACTGTCAGAAAGTTTCTCCTTGTTTCCAGGTTAAATCTCTCCTTGTAAAAGAGTTGGAAGGGACCCCCAGAGGTCTTTTACTCCAACCCTCTACCCAGGCAAGAGACCCTATACCATTTCTGACAAAGGGTTGTCCAGTCTCTTTTTGAAAGCCTTCAGTGTTGGAGCACCCACGACTTCTGAAGGCAAGCTATTCCACTAACTCAGGGATCCCCAAATATGGCAACTTTAAGACTTGTGGACTTCAACTCCCAGAATTCTCCAGCCAGGAAGTATCCTGCGATCCCAAATAAAGAATATTCGGTCGGAAAATAGGGTGGGGGATTTTCCTACAGACATTTTTGGGATTTTCCCAGGGTCTCTGGTCTGCGGGATTTTAAATTATGAGTTTGGTGGTCACTGAGGTCCAAAAGGTTGGCAACCTCTGCTCTAGTCCAACCCTCTGTCCACAATAACGGTAGACTCATAGCCGTAGCTCAGATCCTACACATTCCCTGTAACAGCACTGCATTTTTTTTTAAAGAAAATTGACAGAATAGCAGGAAGGGATCTTGGAGATCTTCTAGTCCAGCCCCCTGCTCAAGCAATAGACCTTTATACCATTTGAGACAAGTGGCTGTCCAGTCCCTTAAAAACCTCCAGTGATGAAGCACCCACAACTTCTGGTGGCAAGCTGTTCCACTGGTTAATTGTCCTCACTGTTAGGAAATTTCTCTTTAATTCCAGGTTTATTCTCTCCTAATTTCCACCTATTGTTTCTTGTCCTGCCTTTTGGTTCTTTGGAAAATAGATTGACATGTTTAGAAACTGATTAACAATAAAATGGTTTAAGGTATGAATGTCATTTTTTTTTTTTTTTTGTCGACGAACTGCAGAAAAAAATGGTGCACCAGAGTTATTAATGGTTGAAATGCCCCATAATAGTGAGACCTCTCATAAACAGTCAGCTCAAATTTACATCTTCGCAACATGAACCAAATATGTTTTGCAAGTTTTAATGCAGGGAAATAAACCCTGAATTATGGCTAGAAAAAGAGCTGAGATTCCACCAAGATATTAAAGCGGCAAGATAGTAACTTTCTAATTGTGCCCTTTATGGATTTTGAAATAAATCACAAATTCCAAGAAACAATAGAGGTCAAAAGAAAGGCTGAGTTGTATAATTGAAAATTGGGAAAATTAAATGTACTATCTGATATTTTTATATATATTAAAAAAGTATAGCAATCTGAGCATCCCATAAAACTTTCACAGTGTCTTGTATATCTTTTTAAAAACACCTTTCAGATATAATGACCTAACCCTAACTCGATCATACCATTATTCCCATAATGAAGGTTATGATTACCATTTAATTGTTATTTTTCTTATTGCTGCTGTATTCTTCCCCTTCTCCATCTTCCTTTTCTCTTCCTCTTCTGCTCCCTTTCCCTCTTCCTTCTCCTCCTTCCATCCTCCTCCTCACATCTTTCTGCTTCTCTCTCTCTCTCTCTTTTTCTTTCTTCTCTTTATCCTTCTCCCCTTCTCCTTTCTTTTCCTTTCTCTTCTTCTCTTTCCCTTTCTCACCCTCCCTCCTCTCCTCCTCCTCCTCCTCTTCTTTCCTTCTTTCCTTCCTTTCTTTCTCCTCTTTCTCCTCTTCTCCTTCTCCTTTTCATCTCCCTCCTCTCCTTCTCCTTTTGTCTTCTCTTTCTTTTTCCTCCTGTTACTTCTCCTCTTCTTCCTTCTCCTTTTCCCCTTCCTTCCTTCCTTCCTTCCTTCCTTCCTTTCTTCCTTCCTTCCTTCCTTCCTTCCTTCCTTCCTTCCTTCCTTCTTTCCTCTTCTTCCTCTTCCTCCTCCCCCCTCCCCCCTCCTCCCTCTTCCCTTTAATCCTTTTCTCTCCCTCTCCTTGATCCTCTTCCCTTTCCCTTTCTCCCCTTCCTCTTCCTTCTCATTTTCCCCCTTTCCCTCATCTCCTTCTTCTTCCTTGAGTTGTCCAAAACCATCAGCCAGGGGAGGAAATATATATATATTGTTTAAAAAATAAAAATAAAATGCCCAGCATATCTGCTAAAGAATAATTTAAGCCAATTGTGCAGAAAACCAATAGTCTGGCATCCAGTCAACTGACTTTTGGCCAAGAAGGTTGCAATTTAGTACTAGCAACTTGGCTGTTGGCCTGAGAACAATGTCATAATGTAATAGTCACTGATGCTAACAATAAACTCTGGCTCTCTTTTCATTTTGGAAGCAAGATGGAGCCACCTAGAAACAAAACCATGGCTTCATTAAACCAGGATCCTAGAATCTCAGAACTGGAAAGGATTTTCAGGCCATGGACTCCAAGCCCTGTCCGGAGCAGGACTTCAAAAGTATTTGCAACAAGTGGGACCTATTTAGTAAACAGCAACTCCTCCCCTATTTCTAGTCAATTGTCTAAGTATTTTGAAATAAATATACATTTTAATGTCAAAGTGTGAAATTAGACATTTTATAGGATGCATGGAAAGTACAAAAAATTCTCAAAACGGGGTATGAAAAGATGAAAGTGTAATATTTCAAAAAATTTCCTAGGCTTTCTATTCAACGCCATAAGTATAAAAATATTCCTCTAAAAATGCAATTCTAGCCTTCCATATTGTGACAAGTAGGTCAAAAAAAGGTCTTTTACTCTGGCTATTTTCAGTAAGAAAGTTCTATATCCTATTTCACATTTCTTCTTTCATTTTCAAATATGTCTTTTCAACAAAAGGTTAAAGTGAACCCAAGCACTAACCCTAACCATAAGGTTAACCCTTAATCTAGTCCAAAAACTACATTAAACCTAGCTGTAGCCCTAACCCTAATCCTGACCCCCAATTTAGCCTTAGACATAGCCCCAACCTCTAGCCCTGACCATAAACTTAACCCTAACCCTTTTCTGGCTGAGGAATTCTGGTAGCCGAAGTCCACAAGTCTTAAAGTTGCTGTCATGCCCCTGGTGGAGACTGACTCTGAGGGAGAGGAGGAACAGCCAACAGGGAGTGGAAGTGTGGCTCCGGAGGTTGTGGAGGAGGCTGGGGAAGGGCAGAGGCCGGCTGAGCAATCAGAGGAGGACCCAGGCCCATCCCCTCTCCACCCTAGGGCACGCAGGGAGGAGAGGATAAGGGAGAGACGTGATCTACTGGGGAGGAGAGGGCCTTGATCCTTTTCATGGGCTGCAGCTGTGACAACTGAATAAGAGTTTGGACCTGCGTACTGGCAAATGCTGGAAACAAAGCATGGAAATATCTCTAGTTTATGGTTCCTCTCTGAGTTTGGTGTCCTTCCCAGTGTGTGTTCTGCTATCTGTGGACGTCCTCCAGCCCTTATCTTGCCTGGTTTGTGTGTGTTTTTTTTAATCTTTATAATTTAAACGACATTTCCTCCTTCTTGTAACTGCATGTGTGGGAGTTTTTTTGTCTCCAGTCAAGGATATTTGGAACTTGGAAGCAAAATGAAGGAATAAAAGGGGCTTCACCTGTTTTTTGTGACTGTGTTTATTTTGTATCACACCCTGCACCATCACAATTGCCAAGGTTGGAGACCCCTGCTCTAGAAGACCAAAATCGGTAATTCTGCAAGTAGGATGGAGATTGAGCAGACAGAGATTGCTGAAGTAAGCAAGAAAATAAATGCTAAGCAAAGGATGTCGTGAATAAATGTCAGCAAGGGGGTTGGACTAGAAAACTCCCAAGGTCCCTTCCAACTCTGTTATTCTGACTGCGTAAAGTTGTGATGGCACTGAAAAAAGGAAACTTGCAACCCGCCTTTGTAATTCCACAAAGTGCAACGGCTATGCTCAACAATCATGTGATCACAATCTGGCACTTTGGGGACAGGCTCACAATTACGATATTGCAGAATCCCATGGTCACATTATCATTGTTGGTGTTACCTGTCACAAAGATATAAAGATTGAACATTGGTTATCTTATATAATTAGGACAGCAGAAAAAACAATTACTACCAGCCTGCCTTCCATTAAGGACCTGAATACTGCACGAGTCAAAAAGAAGTCTATGAAAATACTTACAGACCCCTCACATCCCGGACATAAACTGTTTCAACTTCTTCCCTCAGAATGATGTTATAGAGCCCTGCACACCATAACAACTAGACACAAGGACAGCTTTTTCCCGAACACCATCACTCTGCTAAACAAATAATTCCCTCAATACTGTCCAACTATTTACAAAGTCTGCACTATTGTTACTATTAATCTTCTCATCATTCCTTATCACTCATCCCTCCCATTTGTGACTGTATGACTGCAACTTTGTCGCTTGTATCCTTACGATTTATATGGATTGTTTCCTAGCATGATTTGATTGCTTACTGTACCCTTTGACTATCATTAAGTGTTGCACCTGATGATTCTTGACTCTTGACAAATGTATCTTTTCTTTTATGTACACTGAGAGCATTTGCACCAAGACAAATTCCTTGTGTGTCCAATCACACTTGGCCAATAAAGAATTCTATTCTATTCTATTCTATTCTATTCTATTCTATTCTATTCTAT